CCCGCAAAAGAGAACTCTGCAGAGCTTGCTCATACTGTCGGCCTTGCAGAACGCCAGGCGAGGCGCTTGTTGCGGCGACTTGCCGCTGCTCCTCTTCTCTGTGGTCAGCGCTGCCACTCTCTGGCATTGAATGCGCTGGTCTCCAATCAGGTCTCTCTGATTCAGGCCAGAGACTTGGCTCACTCTGATCGTCGTCTAGTTCGGCGGATCGCTCTAAATCGATCAGCCGATCGAGCTCACTCCGAGCTTCCATGCTTTTCCGTGAGACGACTCTGGATCTCGGCTGGCAGGCTTCTACGCCCGGGCTTAGGGCTAGATATTCCTAGCGAAAGGCAACTCCACCTTGTTGTCTGCCCAGTGCCATCTCAGGCTCGTATTTCGTAAATGATTTGAGGCTTGATATTGCCTGTTGGATTACTCCGTGAAACGGGTGAGAAGTCGAGCTTGAGCAAAATACACGAAGGGACGACGGAGTCTTGTGAAAACGCGAGCGAGAGTGCATGGTACGGTGACAACTGCAAACTTCACTCCTGGGAAATGAGATGGCAAGGGCAGTTTTTGCGGATCTCCCCGCATGAAGAAGTCTCTCTTTGGGACCTGCTCACTCTTTTGGCTTCTTCTCCGAAGCCTATGGTAGCGCTTCTCTGGAAAGGCTTGAAACGCTCTTCTTGGGTCTGCACCACTCCGGTGCTCAGACATTCAATTGCCTGATTTGTGAGTTTGGGAAGCTTTTGATGGAGACTCTTCTCCTTCGCAGATCTGAGGCTTTCGCTGGAGTTCCTTGATGATGGCAGAAGTCCTATCGTCCAAGAACGATGCTTGAGAAACTCCCTCAAAGAACTACAGCTCACTGCTCGCCAACGAACATGAAGCTTAGGATCACGCGCTTTTCTGGGATTTCCTGCAAAACTCCCTCGGCCGCTTCTGCTCTGGTTCCCAGCATGCGAAGTGAGAAATTACCTTGGCCACATCAGGGCCAATCCTCTGATCGTTGCTCCTTCGGAGCGTATGCAAAGTGACTGGTCTGAAGAAGAGCGTGCCGCCCAGTCACGTCTGCATGCTGAGTGGAGTTTGCACACTCCACCCTCCAGAAGCTGGATGTGCACTCTGGGGCCTGATGATCTTCTGGCTCAGGATCGAATACGCCGCCGGCCATTGAGTGCCGTGTGCTGCGGTGACCCAATGAGAGTGAAGTGGGTCCGGAAATTTGAGCAAGTCCGGGTCCTCGATGGGTGGCTTGAGGTCAAGCTCCAAAATCGAAGCGGAGAAATGCGACCCGGTATGCTGTGACCATTTCAATTCGTCCGGCAAGGTGCCGGGTGGAAGAGCAGCTAAGAAGTGGGCCGTGTAGTGGAGCATAGCCTCCGGCAGGCGGGAGTGCTCTTTGATCCTGGTCATCACGCTGTCAATGTCGTCAGCCTCCACGTTATCAATGGCTTCTTTGTATGGAGTGCCACGTTTGTCGGCTGGTAGCTCGCTGTGTGAGAGCACCCTGCTCCGATCAGCCCAGGCTTCTTCAACCGCCGTCTTCAAAAGTGCGTCTTGCATGTTCATCTCTTCCCGGTCCTCGGCATCGTCGTCTTGAGCCTGAAAGGCTGCTTCCGGTTCCTCCTTGGAGGTGACTTTTTGCTCTGGGGCTGTCCATTTGTTCCAGCGCTGGCCACTACCTGAGCCCCTGTTCCATGGACGGGGAGTCCATTGGCGATTCGGCTGGGACCAGGGCTGCCTCCAGTGGCTCGGCTTTGAGTCCTGCCACTTGCCGCCAGACCCGTAGTCCGTCTTACTGTCTCCTTTGTGCCCGGACTGCGTGGCCTCAGGAATTTCCTTCCCCGTCTTCCGGCGACGGCGCTCTCTGGAGGGGGAGCTCGATGATGAATATGACGAGCTTGACGAGCTCCTTTTCTTGCGGCTCCCCTTAGAAGCTCTCTTCTTGTCGGACTTCCTTTTGGAGCGTCGGTCTCTTTTGGACTTTCCACCTTTCTTGTGCTTTCGAAGCTTCTTAGACTTTCGCTTCATGGGCATTGGCATCGGCCCGTAGATTGTTGGAATGATCTCCTCAGAAGCAGAGGAGTCAGACTCATCACGGCGGCCCCTGCCGAATCGTGTCGGCAAGTAAGGAGAGGCGCCGTATCCGAAGGGCGCCAACATGGTGAAAAGGGCGTGTGAAACTTAGGTGAAAAGAGAAAGGGCTCGAGCCGGCAATGGTGAGAACAGGATCCAATGATTGCGCACGAGCATGACATGCTCACAGCCTCTCGCTGCTCAGTTCTGACAGGCAGATCCGCTTGCCTGAGGTCGTGCCGTCGTCGTTCGAAAATTCCTGAAAGAAGAAGCATTACAGGAGTGAAATTATGTCAAGCTGTGACACTGTAAGCTTGGTCTCGTGCTGCTCTCTGTCGAGAAAGGGGACATTCGGCAATGAGAGCGAAATGACATTTGCACCGAAGGCCGGCACGAACTAGCATCTTGGCTGCGGCTCTCCGCTTAGGAAGCGGGTATGGAGGCTGCGCTTCTTCCGTGGGCTCCCAGAAGGCCTGAAATACCCATCTGCCAAGGCTAGGTGGGAGGGTGGCGGATGCTTCGTCCTCCTGCTCTAGGGCGTCGTTGCTTGAAAGACTCTGGCGGGGTGTCTGCTGGACCCTTTCGAATGCGCCGGCAGCGCTAGAAGAAGCGCGTCTCTGCTTCTTTTTCTTTCGGCTTCGTCCTTCCTTGTCTCGCTTGTCCCTCTTCTTCTTGCCACTCTTCTTCTTCTTTTTTGTTTTGTGCTTGTTTTCGGGAAATTCCAAAGGGGGAGTAACTGGGTCGAACGCAGAGCTCCACGACGACATGTCGTCATCAAGCGCAAGCACTTCCTGACTGTCGCAGGACATGATGACTCTCCTCTGAGTGGCACACGGCTGCGCTTCACGCATATATCGGAGTGCCTGATGAGTTTCCTGCTCCGACATGTAACTTGCTGCATAGCCCTGATACGAAAAGCAACAAACGCGAGCGCTTTTACCTGTGGCATGCAGGGATGTGCGACCATCCAATGTCAAGTCCGAGTGGCCAGCAAGCAGACCGGAGAAACCTGAAAAGTCTCACCATTGGTGAGTTCGCCATCGGTTTGGATGTTCCTGGGGTCGTCTGAATCCCTGTAATCCTGGGCAGTTCGGACGAAGTGGGCTACCTCCAGGGTCGCCAGCTCTGTAATGGGAGCTGTGAATGGAATGTGCCTCCCGTTCTGCTGCAACTGGAAGCACTCGATCTGAGGCCTGCGACCTGTAAGGTCCCTGATCCGGTATTGGAGAAGATGTTTCACCGCATCGATGTTGTCACAGCTGGAGCATGTAAGCGGAATGGTAAGCTGTTGATTCCGAGTGCACCGATCCGGTGGGACGCAAACAGTGACCCTGACCACATGACTCTCAAGGGGGAAGCCCGCCTGCTGGGCTGTCCGCTTCATATCATCTGAGCTAAGAGTCATCGCTATAGCCTCGAGCCAAGAACTGGCAGAAGAGCTTGTGACGTCTCTCCTGAAGTGGCGATCAACGGCCTCACGGGGTTTATACACTTGTTGCATAGTCGCTTCAAAGTGAAACCTGTTCTATTTAATCCAGAAGAAGTCAAGCAGTACAGCTCCCTTTTCACTATCAAGCAATCACTGAGCTGAATGCCAGGCTTCGAGGCGGCGTAGTCGCGCCGCGTGGTTATCCCGCGACGTTGGACCTAAAACAACTCCTGTGATTTGTTCCAAATCGTCTGTGCGCTCACGGAGCGCTGCAAATGCAATCTCAAGTTCTCTGACACGTTTGCGTAAACCACTGGGGCCTTGCAACCTGCTGGTGTCAAGGCCAGGTTGGGCCAAGAACATATGGGTCGCCTCAGTGATGGAAACATCAGCGCCGATCAGAGCGGCCTTCTGTTCTGGTGTGAGGCTCAAGTAAACCCCCAGACGTTCACGCTCAGGGACAATGTCCCCACTGGAGCTGTCCTGGATTGAAATGCTGTCCTGAGAGCCAGGAAAGGTGTGATTGGTCCACAGTAGCTGCGCCTGCTGCTCCGCCTCAGGTTCCTGAGCCGATTGACTCAGAACTGCCCAATAAGATGTGGATGAAGCCGCAACAAGAGCGGCACAACGGAGACCTGGATTGCAACTTTGAATAGCATCGTGCTTCCAGAGATTGCGGCGGGTGAGCGCAGATTCCGCAGATGGCTGCATCTCACTCAAAAAGGATCGTTGCTACTCTGCAAGCGCTTCCATGGAAATCGGAGCCCGGCCGAAAGGAAGCGAAGGATTCGAAGAACCTCTCGAGCCGGCACTGACAGGATGCTGATCTCGCCTCAAGGCCTGTACCCCGAGCAGGTGGGCACTTAGAAGCAAACTGTCAAAGACGTCACATCCGACTCTCTCACTCTGAGGCACGAACCAATATGACAATGACCAAGATGGTTGAAGGCTGATGTAAACTGCTCAGGCACAGCCACAAGTCGAAGCAGCAGTTAACTCTGCAACGCTGAAGCATTCTCTCTAATAACCGCACTCCTTCCCACTTTGGGGACCCTTCCCGATCCTCTGGTGGGATTCTCTATCAGAAAATCTCCTTTCGAAATTTTCTGCCTACTCCCGACTTGAGCAGCGGTCACATGCGTAGACTCGTCTCTCATGCACAGGCTGAAGGTTTCTGACTAAACAAACTCGTTCCTTGTTTGTTTTCCATGGTCGTGATAAAAGACTAACTCGTCCCTCGCACGTAGGCATATATCTGCGGGGAAACCCTGAGGAATGATGTTGGTAAGTATGCTTCTATTGGACTCAAAGCTTCCAAGCCCTACTGGAAGAACCCTCAAAGTCAAACTCGAAGAAGGAAAGCTTGCTTGAACCCTGACACCTGAACAGCTATACAGCTAGTTCATGACCCTAAATTCCCTTTTGGCCGAGAATGCCCGAAAACCCAGGCTCTCGTGCTTGTAGAATATGTAGAATAGGCCCGGGCCCCAGGCCGAATGAGACAAGGCGCCATGACGGTCTTGAAGCCTTTGCTGGAGATCTCCTCGGCTGCCGCCAAGAAGTTCCCTGCTGCCGCGTTCCTCGCAGCTGCGGATGCAGTCTCAGCTTTGGGGTTGAGGGTTTAGGGCTTTGCGGTTTAGGGTGTGGGGTTTAGGGTTTAGGATTTGGGGTTTAGGGGTTGTGCGTTTAGGGTTCGGTGCGTGGGAGCTCGGGTTGAGTTGAGGTTTGAAGCAGAAACGGTGGGAGGTTGGGCCTCTTGCTGGTTCTGGCTTCGGGTTTAGGGTTGAGGGTTTGCAGGGTTTAAGGCCAGGGTTCTTGTGACTCCAGGGCTTAGGAATTGAGCTTTTCTGCCAAAACAAGCCGGGATTCACGAGAATGTCAAGCCCGCCGAAGGTTTCCGTCGCCACCTTCCTCGCGACGACTCAGTACCGAAAAAAGCTGGCTGAAACACTTGGGGTTTAGGGTTTGGGTCGGGTTTGGGGCTTACGAACTAAAGGTTTAGGGCTTGGGGCTTTAAGCTGTGGACTTGGGGGTCTAGGGCTTTGTGTTTGCCGTTTCGGGTACTTGGCCCAAGAATCCTGAAACCTCAATCCTCGTTGGAATCTCCGGCAGATGGCCTCAAACAGGCTTCCCCTTCTCGTGCCCAAATCCCGAACTGGCAGCCCGGGCCCTTGAGCCTTGGCTTGGATCTTGGTAAACTCCTGGTTCCCTATACCCCGTACCCTGAAACCTATAATTACCCTAAACCCTAAACGCTAAACCCTAAACCCTAAACTAACCCTAAACCTCAAGCCGTGTAACCCAGTGGCCCTCCATCAGGTTCCAAGTCTCACGGCATTCTCGCAGTCCTCCTCCGCTGCTCGGAGCTGTGGGAAGGTGGGCGTGTGCTTAGGCTCATGGGGCTGCAGGGCTTCCTTTGCGATTTAGGTTTTAAGGTTTCAGGACACCGGGCACGATGCTCTCTTGTTTCCATTGCGATTAGACAGCAAGGATGTCGCCAGACCGTGAATATCACAAAACCGAACCTGGAGACTCGCAAGCACGAGCCATGACTGTTTTCGCTTCCTTTGCCATGACCCAAATAAAACAGCAGCAAGCATGGTAAAACATCATGCGACACACCCAAAACGACCCAGTTCCGGTCGGGCGACTGGCTTTCGGACGTCGCCAGCCGCAGTTGCCACTCTGATTCCTTGGATCCAATCGGTTCGGATTGGGTGCGGCTTTGACTACCAAAACGCATGATTCCTCAGACAGGAGCTTAAGCAAGCCTGAGTAGTGGTGATCCTGAAGCCGAATGCACCTGAAGGACCCTGAAACCCTGAAAAGAGGCCCCAATTTGCAAGGTCCAGTGAGTCTAAAAAACAAGGCTTCTGATAGAACCACTCTAGGCTGTAAGGGTGCCGCCAAAAGGGCCAAAAGGGACCCCAATGTAGAGAACGAGCCATCTACGAACCCCTTAGAGGACCCCCTTAGAATGGGCGCCTTCCCCGGCAAGCAGAGCAGATGCCTGCTGCAAGAACTCAGGCCTGCTCTCAGAGACTCAGAAATGGCGGCTTGCGCGGCTGCGGCTGTGGGTTTGGGGGCCTTCCGCGATCTTTTCGGTGTGTTGGTAGTAGGGCCTTTAAGCTATTTGGGGTGTTAGGAAGCAGTTGGGGTGCTGGTTTTCAGGGCCTAGGATTGTCTCTTAGCGGATCTTGGGCTTTCGGCTCGGCTTACGGTTTAGAGTTCTAAGCCTCCCTCCGGATGAAAGTTCCCGTCATGTTGAAGACACTTGACAATTCATGGATTCCTGCCCTTCCTGTGTCCTTGAACCAAACTCAAGTCCTAACCATTACGCCCTGACAACCCTCGAGCTCTGCAAGGCGAAGTATCAAGGCCTCCATACCATTTACAAGGATTTCGAACCTGGGCCGCCTGCGTCCGACGAGCACGACGCCTGCACAGCCATGCCGGCCAAACTGGCGTGCGACCTGCACCACCCCGTTTTGCCATGTTGTTGCTTCGTTCGAAAACGGAGAGTTGGAGTGTGGGGGTTTGAGGGCTTGCATGCTGACTGGAATGTCGCGACATAGACCTAGAGCGATGTATGAGATCCAGGCTACAGCATAAACCCTCACACCTAATCGAATTGGGGTCCTCGGATCTGTGACAGGTTGCTCCCACATGCTCCCACGTCGGGTTTACGATGTCGGACTTTGATATTTAGCAGACCCCAGGCTTGAACTCAAAATCCACATGCCAAAGGAGCCCAGCTGCTAAGACATGACACTTCGGCACCCAAAGCAAGAAAGCTGTTTGCTGTCAATTCCCATGCCTCAAAGCCGATGCCGCTGCCACCTCCAGTGACCAAAGCCACACGGCCGGCGAGGACATCCTGCTTTTCGTCTGAGCCAGGAAAGTTTAGGGTTTAGGGTTGCTTTTCCAGGGTTTAGGGGTTCTGGATTTTTTTAGGGTTGTGGGTTGGGGGGCATAGACAAGAAGACAAACCAACGGTATTTGATATGAAGCCCTTGGAAAAAATGTCGTTACGGTGGGTCCTCACGGAAGTAGCTCGCATCTGCTGGGGCCGTCATGGCTCAACAGGAGCACGAAAGGGCGGTGGGAAACTCGGACTTAAGGCACCGAAGACTCGAGTGCAATCGAGCATGTGTATCCGACATTTTGCTGCTCCTGCCAGGTGGGTCAATGTGTTGCCGTGGCCACGACTCGACTCAGGGCTGGTACTGCATCTAATCAAATCCTTTAAAAGCTTCAGAACTCACTTGACGGGCGCAGCAATTGAAGTTTGGTTTCTTGAGGTTCTTGAGTTCACACCCCTACGATTTGCTTGGGCGACATGGTGAGTCTCCTCAGCACCATACAAGACACACTCGGCCACCTTGCTAGCTGGTCCTTGAATGGCGTCCTGCACCAAGTTCCGTGGGTGGCCCGCAGCAACGGCCCGGCACACGAAGTCGTCTGGCTCCCTCGGGATTCCAAAGCAAAGGAGCTCAGCATGATCATCCGAAGGCCCACACCCATTCGGCATTATCAATGCCACCACGTTGTGCACGGGGCCTTCATCACAATTCAGGCAGTCATCGGCACCTTCGTCACCAAACTTGCAAAGGAAATCCCAGGATGAAGTGGAACGCCCGTCAAAAGCTTGGTAGGAAGAGCGGCTGCAAACCCGCACACGACCCCATGGCACCAGTTTGCGCCGCGTGACTCGCGTCCCCTTGGGGTAGATCGAACAGATAAGCCTGGGCCAGTCCTGTCGTCCAAGCGGCACGGCCCAGGTGTCATAGCCAGAGAAGTTGGACACCAGAGGCCGAGCGTATCGTGCCTGCTTGTCCAGCAGCACCTGCGTAGCCGGGCGAGGCCGCAAGGCAGAGAGGCCAGGGTACTCATCAGCAAGCAGGGAAGCATGCGATCACATAGCAAGTCCGGATAGGCGGCTTCATCATGCGTGGGGAAAGAAACACGGCCATCAGAGCCGTAGCGAGGCTTCCAGGAGGCGTGCGGGTGGTCCTTGGAACATCGAAGTGCAAGGGAATCAAAGACTGAGTCAGAGCACCACCAGCGCGTGCACTTATCTCGAAGACCGCCATGCATGCAGTGGTCGAAGAGAACCTCGGAAGCCGTCTCGACGTAGAGAAGATCAGACATACCGTCACAGAGCCAAGCCAGAGAATTGGCAGGATTTTCAACGGAAACGCGGATGCCACGTTTCATAGCAGCCGTTGCAATGGTACCAACGGCACGATAAAGGCAGTTGGGCGAGTCAACACGTTGAAGATCGGTGCCATGAAGACCAGGTAGGCCTTGCGGATGTTCCAGAGATCGCAGTGGCTGCGGTGCCGACAAACCTCGTGCCTGAAGCTGTGGAAGTGCAATGGCCCGGGCAGCAGAAGCGGTGCCGCACGGCGGCGCGAAGTGAATAAGAGCAATGTCATTGTCCTCCCGCAGGATGATGTCAAGCAGAAGGTCAACAGCCGCGGTCTGGGCGAGGTCCATGGTCTGAATGGGGAATTTCGACTGCTTTGCAACGCGGTCGATGGCCAAGGTGCGAAAACCAGAACGTGAGCAGGCTGAACTCAGCGAAGCAGTTCCAGCAAAGACCTCGATGACGAGGGGTGACCTGCGCTGGGGAAATGCATCAGCCAAAGCGGAATCGATCAACATATCCACGTCTTCGGCGCTGGCGCACAGGTCATTGACTGACTCAGGGCCGCAGCCAAGCGGTGGAGGCTGAGGAGCCTGTGGGATGGTCCCTCCCAGAGGGGTGTTAGGGGAGGCGGGTTCGGGACTTAAGGTAGCAGTCGCACGGCTGCAAGCCGAAGCATCGAGGCTCGATGTCACGGTTGGAGCGCAAGGACAAGCAGGCACAGCAGGCGGAACAGTGACCCCGCGGCCGTCAGGCGTAAAGCCCAACTCGCACAGCGTGTCACGACACGCAGCCGGCAGAGTAGAAAAGCAGCGAACCTGGAACCCCACCAACATCAAGCGCAGGCCAGACCACGGGCAGGTGGCATGGCGCTGACTGGCGTTAAAGCGTGTGGGCCCAGCCGAAGTTTCAAGCAAAGAGCCGTGAAGGCGACTGTCCAGCGGACAAGGCACCGTTCCTTGGCCTTCAATCCAGACCTGACCATCAAGAAAGGATGAGCAAGGTACAAGTAGATTGTCACACGTGCCATCGTTGTTGTCATCTCGGTGCAGGGGCGTGGAGATGTTGCGAAAAAGCGCCACAGTGCTAAATCGATCTTCCGGAAAAAGTGATGAAACAATAGAGGCCAACAAGCATGTAGCGGCAGGAAAACATCTTGTGTTGGCGCGCAAGCCACATTGGCGGCTGTACACGTAAGCGCCGGTATTAAAAGATTTCTCTGATTCACCCTCGGTCACAGGCTTGCCAGACGAACGCGAAGGTTTCTCAGCAGGCAATGCTTCCATCAGCATGCGAAGTTGCTCAAAATTGACGTGGCCAGCGACCAAGCAAGAGACGCAAGTGACTCAGCCTCCGTTCCACGCGAAAAGCGGTCAGATGCGTCAAGCCTCGGCGGGAAGGAAAACCCAGAGGTCCAGGGCCGAGAACCGGCAAGGGCCTCGGCCTGAACGATATGTCACTCGGTCTTCTTGCGCCAGGTGCGGGCGCGGCAGTTCTGGAAGGTATGTCCAGGCTGCAGAAGGCACAAACATGCACACCACGAGAGCAAGCTGGCGGCGAGCGTGGTTGTGGCCTTACAGCCCTCCTTGAGATTGTTGGCCCAGCAGATGGCTTGCCATCCTCGGTTTTCTGGTAGCACTGTGCCAACTCGGCCGGAGGAGTCACACGGGCACCTTTGTCAGCTCGTGGAGTCGGCACCACCTTAGCCGCCTCGGTCTCACGCTTGCGTTTGGCACGCTCGCGATGCTTGGCAGCTCGCGACTTGGCCGCAGTGGCAGCACGAGAGGGAGCACTGGGCCGATCTGGCAAATCAGCAACCTGAGTGGTCCGCCTGAAAGGCATGGCCATCAAGAACATCGTGATCCGAGGGTCTGTTCGCAGAGCATCCAAGGCCCGCGACATGGGGGAGACTCCATCAGCGGCGGGCCGAAGATCACGGAGCTCGCTGGCCATGATCAAGAAGGCCTCACGATCGGCTTGCACAATCTGTGCGACATTTGGCCTGCAGAAATCAGACGGACAATCACGGGTCAAGGATTGAAGCAATGTGCGCACCCAATGCTCATGCGAAGCCCAGGAGACCAGCTTGCACTGGTCTAAGGCAAGCCCGCGGTGCACCACTGAAGCTTAAGCGGCGATGAGTAGTCCGCTTCATCCTTAGTGCTGTCGTCGGTGACCTTAAGCATCTGATCTTCGAGGTTCACACACAAAACATATGCAGCCACTGGTTATGCAAAGCTTACTACCTAGGCTTCCAGTCGTAGTAAGGCGAGACGGACTCCTTTTTTGACGTGGTGGCAAAACGAAGGTTCGAGCGGTCTGCAAAGCCAGCAAAGCAAGTCCTGAGTAGCAATGTCACCCACAAAGAAGAGCGAGCTAAGCAAGCTAGAAACAAGATCAGAACAAAGGCTTAAGCAAACCCAAGCTATATGTTAGCAAAGTGGGCGACACTGCATCGCAAAAGTAGAGGCCACACCAGGGCGGGCCCGGGCGGGTGAAAAGTAGAAAGCACATGCCTGTTGCCGTGCATGTGCTCTGCTGCAAAACCAGAGTGGCTGCATATGTAGCATTAAAGCAACACCAATGCATGCAATGTTTGATGGTAAACACTTTTGAGCTAGCACAAATACCGTTCACACACAAAACATATGCAGCC